CCTGTGGCCTCATGTTTATAGAGCTTCTTAACTGTTTCGTACCTCAAGTTGTTTTTGCATATCATTGAAGATTAAAATCCAAAAAAATATGTTAAGTTTATGAACCCTTTTTCCCTTGGAGAAATTGCCTTCGATATCTTTCTAACAACTATGGTGTGTTTTAGGAACAGTTTTCCTTAAGAGGACAACTTCTCAGTGATCATGTGGTAGTAAGAAATTTGCCACTGTTAATCACAGATGTATGTCCTGTCTTTCTCGATTGCTCTGATTGGTTTCCTTAATTTGCAGTGATGACTTAGAAATGGAAGAAGTATCCTCTTAGCTTTTTAGACATTCAGCCACAGAGCCTATTGGCACTCCCTGAGCTCTAGTGTGCTCTAGTCTCTTGTGTGTCCAGAAGGCAGCAGGAGCATTTCTGGGATCACACTGATAATTTTATTGAAGTAGAATTTCCTGCATGTTTTATGGTGCTGCTCTAAGATTCTCTCTATATATAATTTAATTCTTAGAGAATATAAATTTTTCAAGTTTTAATTGTGGGGGACCTTTTCCCACCACATGGTAATAGGCCATGGATCAAAATCCTATCCTAAATAATTGGGTTTTCAGTGTAATAGTCTGTGGAAATACCACTCCCTCTTCTCTGTGTCCTTCTGCTCAGAAACCCTTTTATTGTCTTCCTCTGCTCCAGCACCTACTTTGGACTCCTTTACAGGTCACTGTTCCTTCTTCCTCAGTAGGTGTCTTCAGTGTTCTCTAATCTTTTAAAACTGAATTTGACAAGTGGCTAAAAACTCACTCTGAAATTTGTGCTTAATATATAGTTAATTCTAGAAATAGCAGCTAGTTTTTTAAAAATTACTCTGTTGACTGCTCTTTAAGATCACACTTCTATGCCAGGAGGTAGCAGCCCGTTCCATTGAACTTTACAGGCAACCAGCGAACAGATTGCTGCGGATGAAGGTGTCACATATAAGCAATAGAGGCCTTCCCCTTGGGATGATACAAGTTTCCAAAGGCCACCCCATGTGCATTCTGGCCAGGGATCATTGGTCCATTTCTTGCCCTTCAGTGCTACCTTTTTCTGGGCAAATAGCCAAGAACTGACTTTAATAAGCAGTGAGTACGTCAGATAAATTTATAATTAAAGTTGCTGAAGAGTGGAGAAGGTTGACCACCACTAATTAATTCTCCAATGTAAAAGCAATCTAAAGTAACGTGTGCATGTGCCCCATCCCCACCCCCTCACTCCCCAACCCCCCACACACACACCTGTGCTCTGGGGAGCTCTTGCACAGATGAATCCATAGGCATCTGGGCTGCACTTTGAATGACACACTTGTAGCTTTATTAGATTCACTGTTGTTGTTGTTGTTGTTGTTGTTTTAAATTGTTTCTTTTCATTGAAGAAAGGTCTAATCAGCTAGATCAGTCAGCATCATTTTGTATTTAATGACAGAAACTTTGAGACGTTACCTTTATTAAATAAATGAGCTTGCCTTGAAAGCAAGAGCCTATAAAAGGTCCCTGTTCTAAAAGGAAGTCGTGGCTCTGGAGACTGACAGTTCCCTGCAGAGTCTCTCAGCAGCCAGTGAGCAGCCAGTGGTTGCTGCTGTCAGTGATGCCTAGTTGTGTAGAGGAAAGAGGTACAGCTTGCACTCTTTTAGGTGTGAGGTATGAAACTTTGGATTTTAAAATTATGTACACATACACACTTTATATATATGTATGTATGTATGAAAACATGAAGTTAGTTTGTCAAAATGTGTGTTTAGTATTTTAGCTTAGTGCAACGATTTCCACATTATTTATTAAATTGATCTAAGACACTTTCTTGTTGACACCTTGAATATTAATGTTCAAGGGTGCAATGTGTATTCCTTTTAGATTGTTAAAGCTTAATTACTATGATTTGTAGAAAATTAACTTTTAAAATATATTTGAGCCCCTTCTGTAGTGTTATAGGGCTCTTACAGGGTGGGAAGAATTTTAATAGTTCCAGTTGCTAACTGAAGAAAATGGCCTCATGTATTTTGAATTATGGGAGTTTGCCTCTGGGTCCCGGGAACATCTCTGGGAAGGTGTATTAGGTAGATTGTGATATTTTTTTTCTTTAAAACAAAACCAAAAAGAAACTAAATTGGGAAGCAAAACATTTCAAATCTATCTAGACTCCTATAACACATTTCAATTTCAGTTGATTTCATTTCAGTTTCCTGTATTCCCTGCTGGAGAGGCAGACTTTTTTCCCCAACTGTCTAAGAAGAGCTTAGTATTGAATGACTAGAGTGTGTAGTGACAGGCCAGATGGATCGGGTTTGTGAACATCTCTTTCACAGACTCACTAATAGAGAAATTCAGTTTAGGCTTCTAAACCCTAAAAACCAAGATTGCAGTTGACAGAAATATAGTATTCATTGTTGGTAAAGTGGGTATTCGTTCTATTGAGATGAACCCTATGTTAATTAAAATGAACTTACTGCCTCCAGAAAAGGAAACAGAAGAAATATCTTAATCTCTTTTAGTGCAGTTTGGTCACAGAATAAGGCATTACCAATCTTTTAACAGCAGCCTAAGTTGTCATTCAATGCAGTTAACTTTTAAGATTGTCAGCATTGACCTCTCCATGTCACCATTGCCAAACACAAATTACCATTCTTTTAAAAAGAAAAAGAAAAAAACTAAAGAGCATAGAAAAAAAAATGTTCCCACCCAAAAATTCTAGAAATACTCCAGTTGATCTCTTACTCCTTCCACGTGTGGTTTCCTTTTAGCTTTTCCACTGGAATTTTCTACCTGGTATGTTCCTCTCTGGAAAATATATTTGGAAATGCTGCCTTTCAAATCAATGCCATGATATCCATACTGTTTAGTTTGTCGTTGCTGTTCAAGAAGTGTCCCCATTTTACACCTTTATGCACTCTCCTGGAAAATCATTGGTATAAGCATTCAACAGTACTCTGGGAGAGGTAAGAGCTTTGCAGGGTGGGCGGGGCTGACCAACAGAGCTGGCCTCATTGGCAGTGTCTAAAAGGCATCACTCTCTTTGAGGACCAGATGTGAGTTGGTAAGCACAGTTAGGAAAATTTCTATCTAACCTCCCTTTTGAATGGTTTAAGAAATTTTATATATGGAGGATGGAAATGCTTATATATTTATTAAAAATTCTTTTATTTGAATTTAAAAATTATTTGGTGAATAATGGTTTGCTATTTCGGGGAGGGTTTTGGAGAGGAGGTAATGCCACTGAAAAATTAAAAGCTTTGTTGATTCTGCAGAAAGGTACTGTTAGTGTCTGATAGGATGACTTTGTTTTGTACATGATCCAAATCTTTGTTTTACATTTCTTGCATCCAAAATATTTGGGCATCTGACATTTTTAACCAAAATTTCGATTATATACTGTGATTTTTATTTGTTGCAATACATTAAAATTTCAGAGGTACTTTGGGGCTCAAAAGCTAGGATTTCTAAGTCAGTATGTGCATTTCACATAATAAAGCTGTTAATGGTAAGCAAAATATTATATACTAACTAGATTTTTCCACATCTGTATAGTATATTATATGTATTTTGTGGTATTGAGACTATAGAAAGTTTAGAGTGTCAAACATGCGTTTAATGTGTATTTTTAAACAAATTTATGGCAATTAAAATATTTGGAGACAAGGGTATCACATTTCAATTTGTAAAGATCTTTTTAACTCTACTGTGTCATTAAGATGCTTTGTATAATGCCAAACCATAGCTGGAAGAACTAAGTTTAATAAATATCAAATAGATTTTCTGTATGAAAATTTATAACCACTGTGCTCTTTACACTTCTTCAGCTCTTTGCCTTTTTTGTGTCATGCTTTGGATTTCAGGGTATGCTACTACTTCTCTTTAATTCTTGGTCCCATTAATTCAGGTCTTGTTTTCTTGTTACAGAATTCTGAACTTTTCTGTAGATCAAAATTTGCCCTCCTCCAATAGATCTCTCTCCCTCTTTCCCTCTCCATCTCCCTCTCTGTCTCTCTGTCTCTCCTCCCTCTTCAACTTCTGTGGGGGGGGGGGGGGGCGGGAGGGGACCCTCTCAGACAGTGATCAGAGGGCCCAAGGCCACACCAAGTCATATGCTGCCAACCAGGCCAGACAGTTCAGTGCCCGGGCCACACCCGATGATGCTGTGTGGGTGCACACGTGGTGCTGAAGATTGAAATCTGGTCTTTGAGCATGATAAAGCATGAGCCCTGAGCCATCTCTCTGGCCCTTAAATGAAATTTTTCTTGGACTGGGGAGGTAATTCAAAGGATTGAAATATATATTTTGTGGGCCGGAGCGACAGCACAGTGGTAGGGTGTTTGCCTTGCACACTGCTGCCCGGCTGACCAGGGTTTGATTATTACGCCCCTCTCGGAGAGCCCAGCAAGCTACCGAGAGTTTTCAGCCTGCATGGCAAAGCCTGGCAAGCTCCCTGTGACATATTTGATACGCGAAACACAGTAACAACAATGTTACTGGACCCGCTCGAGCAAATCGATGAGCAATGTGAGGACAGTGGGGCTGGAGTGAAAGTACAGTGGGTAGGGCATTTGCCTTGCACATGGCTAACCCAGGTTTGATCTCTGGTGTCCTGTGTGGGCCCCTGGATACCGCCAGGAGTAATGTCTGAGTGCAGAGCCAGGTGTAATCCTTGAGCATTGCCAGGCATGACTCAAAAAAGCCACCCCACCCTTCCATAAAGAAAAAGACTAGAAACACATACTTTGCATGTGGGACATCTGCATTCAATCCATGCACTCATTGCCAGAGTGTGACCCCTCCAAAATCCCCTTCTGCCTTGGCAAACGTTAACTCACTTAACTTTCTAGATTTGGAAATTAACATCATTTAGGCAATGCTTTTTTCCTTTATACAGAGTGAATCCTCCTTCCCCTTGAAAGCTTCAATTCCAGACTGCCAGAATTTCTGTTTGAGATATTTAATATATAGTATACATAGAAAAATAAACTCTGATATGACAAAGTTAGTTAAGTTTATCTACATATCAACATGTTAAGAAGGAACGGAGACCAATTTAAGGCATACATCTGTCTTTAAATATTAAAAACACAAGACGGCTTCACTTTGTCTCCATCTAGAATGGTTAGTCAATATTCCATAGAACGGAGCATTGTCGTGAGTGCTGTTCACTGTTCCTGGGCTGTCCTTCATTCCTGGGCCACACTTAGAGAACAGTGTCTTTTTCTAGGAGAATAGAAAAGTGGGTGTTTAAGACAAATGCCCAGCAGTGTCCAGAGCCAGCTCTGCTACAATTCCTTCCTATTGACTTGATTTCTCCCACCTTGAAGAAACCCCACCTCAGCCGGGACAGTCCATCAGGCCCATTGTTCTTAGCACTGTGCCATGTGCTGATTTCTCTGTCCAACTTACCAAGCCTCTGTCCCAGCCCTGTTCCCAGTGGGGGTGTACCTGCATAGTTTTGTGATGCACTCAGAATCATCCCGACAGGAAGCTCCAATGGGCCTGAGGGAAACTCCTCTCCAAAACGGTGTCATTCTTCGAATCCTTATCTTTGAAGCACTCAGTTCTGGTACTGGGGAGCCATTTACCTGTAAGGCGAAGGCATTCACCTGAGTCATGGAAGAGCTGGCACCCTGCTACACACCTTGGAAGAGCACTGTCCCCCAGAATTCAGTAGTCTCAGCAAAGGAGCTATTTCTCAGCTCTGATCCTGGTTTGCACCTCATTCCATGCCTGCATGCATGCAGAGGTGTCCTTACCTGGCCCAAGAGCAGTAGGCTGAGCATGAGCACTGCAAAGAGTTTGAGGAACCACATCTTGACAGAGGGGATGTTGGAACTTGAAAGCCAGGGGGCTGTTCCCTTTTCCTTTTATAGACAGAAATCCACCTCTTTTATGGTTGCCAGATGAGATGGGGGCAAAGTTTATATTTGCAATCAGGGTCGATTTAATAAGTTAATGTCTACCAGAGGAATGTGCTCAAGGCCTACCATTCAGGCACGTTGCATTTACTGATCCTCATCTGGACTTTGAGTAGTTATGTTGTTGGCTTGGACCCTAACCCATTTTATCAAGTCAGCACTAACACCACACACACACACACCCCTTCATTTTAAAGCCACGTGATTCTCTTGAGGGAAGCCTGGCATCTTGGCACACATTGATTCTTAAAATAGCTCTGTGAGATCACTCTATGATCAAAATAGAATGAGGTTCTCAGAGACATTGGTGACCCCCCTTAACTGGTCTATTACTGTAGGCAACTAGGTAAGGCCCTTATCACCGTACTTAGACAGCATGGCTTCCTCAGATCCCCTCTGCATACATGGGCAGTCACCCTAATTATCTGCTTCAGAACTCTTAACTTACAGCAACAGAGACCCAGTTGGGGCAAGTTCAGTTGGATCTACTCACCCTGTCCCAGGACCGGGTTATGATGACCAATGTGAGATGAACTTGACCTGCAGGTGAATAGGTTGCATTTTGTTTTGTAAAATGTGAATGACGAGTAGCTTCTATATCACTGGGAGAGGTTGGGATTGGGTAAAATTGGGGACACTCCTGGTGCTGGTGTGTACTCAAAAGAACTCTGAAGTGCTGGGGGTCTAAGCCAGGGCTCCAGTCTATATAGCATGCACTGCAGCCCTTTTGAGTCACCTCCCAAGCTCTGGCAGAGCTTTTGTGGTGGTGACAAATGTGGTTTCTTGAATAAACAGGCTTTCCTCCACAGTACAGATCCTTCCAGCAGCCTTGGGGAAATAAGGCTGAGATACCTCGAGGGCCAAAGATCAAGCTGCTGCAGCTTTCTATGCCAAGTAGTATGCATCTAAATCGGGAGCACTTATTAAATAACATGGGGTGTTTAGTTAATTTGAGGGGAATAGCGAACTCTGTAAAGGAGAAAAATTAGATCATACTATGATGGCCTGGAAGAATAAGCCATGAAGAGAATTGCAACAAGATTATTTTTTTATGGTGTCTTCCTCCTTTAAAGTTTGCCTCATACTTCTTCCCTTCTCATCTCTAGAGGGTGGATATTTGATAAGAACCTGCTTGTTCTCCAAGGAAAAGTGGGAAAGATGGAGCCTGGCTGGAGGTGAAACAGGCTGGTAGCCCATCCTTTGGCCAGGGAAGAAGAGGATGGTTTGGCAGGTTCCTGGGGTGGAACTGGGAAGGGTATGACTACACGGGTCTGATCCACTGCCTGCCCTTCAGGAACACTAAGAGAAGAACTAAGCCAAACCCACCCCAAGTAGGCAACCTAATTGGGAGCCTTTGTGGATTGGGGAGAAGGTTCTGTGATGACCTAGTGAACATTGGGTAAGAACACAAATCCGATTAGTAAGCAAAAGACTTGGCGACATGATGTCCTAGAGCCATTTGGGTCTGAGGACTCAGTGCCAGCCTCTACATAACCAGTCTGAAATGATGTGCCAAATGGGCTTTGGAAACGGCTCATTCCAAAAGTGGGCAATTCCTTCTACTGCCCTATACCCAGCAAAGTCAAGCTAGCCTTTTGCATCAATTTATAAAGCCAATATCAAAGCCGCAGGAGGAATCAGGAGCTCAGGGTTCCTTGTGCTGAGGGGAGAAGGGCTTTCTATCCTGGGTGCGATAACACAGAGGAAGCCTTTGTGGCTCAAGGATTGATGTGGTTGTATCCCATACCTCAGCTCCAAAGAAAAGACACGAGTCTGCCTGGGAGAGACACCAGTGTGAGGAAAACCAGCAGCATCATCTGCACCAGCTCAGTAGCTGTTTACATTTTCACTCGCTTCCATTAAATATGGAGCAAAAGGAGCCAGAAAGATAATACAGAGGCTAAAATGCTTAGCATGCGCAATGCCAGCCCAGGTTCAATTCCTGTCACCACACAGCCAACCTTGTTTGATCTCCAGCACCACATATGGTTCCCCAAATACTGCCCAAAATGATTCCTGAGCACAGTGCTGGGAGTAAGCCCTGAGCACCATTGTGTATGAGATAAATGGAAGAAAGAGCAAAACAAAATTCATAAGCAAAGTAGCATTCTCATAGCTGGAGTGACCAATCTCTAGCCACTTCACTCCTTTTGTATACAATAAGACTTGATTCTAATGAAAATAATAAAAGTCTCTGAGCGCTGCAATCTGCAGTCTTAATGGATAAACACATATGTTCATGTTCCCTCAGCAGGAATTTCTCAGCAACCTTTAACAATGCTTGCCATAGTTAAAACTCAGGGCTGGGAGGCAGGAACCAGGAGTCCAAGTAGGTAACTGACCCCAGGCCAGCCTCTGAACTTTTTATAGAGATGGAAGTAGATCTCTCAGGCTTCCCCAACACCATTTAGGAGCTCAAATGATTAATTCACGAGAAGAAAATGAGACTAGAGCACATTTGATAGCTTGTAGATTGGTAACTCCAAATATAATTCCCAGGCATTTTCTGCTGCTGCCTAGGATGAAATGGGAAGAAAGGGTATATCAGTACCAGCAGTTCATTGAAACAATCGAAGGAGAGCACCTTAGAGCTGGACAGTAATTGGGAACTTTCTCCCCTTAGCAGGGGGAGCCTAATTAAAAAAAAAATCTAGGTAAAACTTCAACAAAGGGTCAAAGTGTATTTGCTGTTTTTCCCGGCTGTAACTGACAGACCTCTGGACCTGGACTAGGTTGGCCTGCATCTTAGGGACTCTGCCGAAAGACTGGAGAGTTCCTGCATCCCAGAGCTAAAAATCCTTGTGGGGGCAAGAGTACTGCTGAAGAAAAGAAGGGCTTTAGGACAAGTAAGTGCTTGGACCCCATCTGTAGATGAGGCTGTTCCGTACTAGGACTGCAAACCCCCAAGGGGTTACAGATCTTGATCCCCATGGCAGCGACTGTTCTTACTTAAGATTCTTTCCTTAAAAAAAAAGATGGTTTGGGGCCACCCCCAGCATCACTCAGGGCTTGCTCCTGGCTCTGGGATCACTCTTGGCAGGGAGTGCTCGGGGATCACTCCCAGCAGGCTCAGGCACCATACGGGGTGCTAAAGATCAAACCTAGGTTGCCACATGGAAGGCAACCTCCCTACCTACTGTACTATTGTACACTTGGATTCCTTTTCTTGATGGATTTCTACAGGCTGGCCCCTATCCCAGATCCCTTTCATGTATGAAAGTACTGGGATGTACCCATTCACCATACCTTCCCCTACTGCCTAAGCACTTTGCCACAGAGGTTCTAAGCCCCCAAGAGTAAGTAGAGAAGCACCGTGGAAGAGGTGAAAGCCTCTTCATAGTAAATATCTTCAAGCATAAACAGAATTCAGACCAATGGCTAATGCCTCATCTGAGCTCAGAAAGATAAGTTTGATTTTAAGATGGTAGAGGGGTGAAAGAATCAAAAAGAAATAAGGTCAGTATTAAATGAGTTCCATTGGACTGGAGAGAGAGAGTATGGTAGAGCACTTGCCTTGCATACAGCAGACCCAGGTTCAATCCCTGGCATCCCATATGGAGCACAGAGACAGGAGTAACCCCTCACTCAGTATTGCTAGGAGTGGCCCATTAAAAAAAACTTTAAAACACGGCAAACCCTGACAAGCTACCTGTGGTGTTATTGATATGCCAAACACAGTAACAAGTCTCACAATGTTACTGGTCCCGCTCGAGCAAATCGATGAACAATGGGAAGACAGTGATCACAGTGATCAAAACAAGGACCATCTTCCCTAGAAAGGTTGACATGAAAATAAGAGGGAAAAGGAGATTAGTTGCTGTCAAGGCAGTGGTCCTCTCTAGCAGGTGAACCACTTGAAACTTGTTCTGATCCACAGAGGTGTGTATGTGTTCACATGAGTGTGTTTGCCAGGGATTGAACCCAGTGTCTCACTGCAAATCATGTTCTCTACTTCTGAGCCACAACCCCAACCCAAGTCCATAATTTTCATCAGATTCTCAAAGGACTCTCCAAGATTCAACTATTTGCCAAGAAAAAGAGTAAGTACTAAGAATAAACCAACAAATTACCAAACAGGAAAGTTGACCCACGTTTGGTGAGGCAAGAATTTGCATCATCTAACGTCCTTTATTAACAGTGTCACCTTGTCATGCAAATGATCTTATTTCACTATTACAATCTTGTAGCTTTGTTTTAATATCCATTAAATGGGCCCTGAAAAGCTCAGGAATACAGGTTTCTTGCCTGTACTGAAATGAAGACACTGGAAGAGAATACCAAACAGTATGGGCACAACTCTCATACTCAGACTGACTACCTTACAGTACAAAAATTTTTTATTCATCTTTAAGTTTTGGTTGCTAGAAAAAATACGGGACCAGGGAGATAGTCCAAAGAGCCAACACATATGCATTACATGCTGAAGCCCTAATATTGATTCCCAGCACTTCAAATACTGCCGCAAGTGACCCACTGCCTGGTGTGACTCCAAAACTAATGGAATGATAAGATGGGCCTGGAGTGATAGTGTAGCAGGTAAGATGCTTGCCTTGCATATGGCCAACTCCTGGGTTCAATCCCCTAGCCTCTCCTGAGCATCACTGATGTGGCCCACAAAAGAAAAAATCAAAAGCTCATAGCCTGAGTTAGATTTTAATACCATGAAAATTGCTGATTTGGGCCAACAGGAAGTATCCTTGGAAGTAGTTTCTAGAAGTGGAACAGAACCAGAAGCATAAATCAGCCAATGACTGCGTACACCATCTCTTGTTGAAAGGGAGTTTCCTTTTATACTAAGAAGATAATTAAAATTCAGGGGTCCAAACTTCAACAACTAAAAAAATGTGCCTGTCAAGGCTGCAATCATGGGGAAAGGGAAGATGGGTCTGAGGGAAACTGAAAACACTGGCGGAGGGAAGTTGACATTGGTGGTG